CAGGTCAGATCGTTCCACCGTACGAGGTATCGATATTATCCAATATTCAATATTATTTTTCCGTTTATTACAATTTCGAAATTCTGATTTTTCCATCATCCAAAGGGCACCTTAGTCCAGCTCTTTCGGGAGTTATGAGAATTTCTCAGGCTAAGGTGTACCGCGGGCGGAAACCGCCGATTTTATCAGCTAAATATAGGAAGCGAAATTGTAATAATCGATTCACGCGACCGGTACATTAGTCGAATGTTTCAACTGTGATAACAGAGTGTTTTCATATTCATATATATACCTATATCTTGTTAATTAATTTTAAGCATCTTTACACTTGTACACATTTTTGCAAAACTGAAAATTCTAATTTAACGAAAATTCTAAATTGTTGAACTCTTAACTTTGGCATTTCACCGTATTTTTCACTCACAATTAAACCAGTTTTATTTAGTTAAACAGTTTCCATTTATTTCAAACACACCTCATACATTTCAGCTAAAACACGTTTACCAACATACTCAGATTCAAGGAGGGTCCCGTGCGGGACAAAGCGTTGAACAAACCCAACGAAAGGCTAATAATTATAATCTTTTAACATCTTATCAATTTTGTCTTTCGTCTTTTAATTTGTCGAGAGCGTTAACACGCTCGAGACTGGTGGCAGCGATACCAACCATCGTGCTAAAATAGGAAAGTAGGTATTAGGGGTTGAATTCCAACCAATTAATTGAAATTTAACCACCTATATCTCCAATTTTTATCTTTCCCTTTTACGTTGCGCCGTCGCACGCGCAACGTAACATACAATTCGCCATCTTGGAATTTCAAATTTGGAGTCTCCACCTCTCATCCCATTCACAATCCAATTACTCATCGGATAATAATAAATTACACACTAAATTGGGCGAACAGAACACGCATTCGCAAGAGAGAACAGCATTTATAAACATTAACATTAGAATTTAAATTTTGAAATAATGTATCTTGACAATAAATCAAATAAAACTTTAGCGAATGATTCCAAGTGTAACGACCCAGTGATAGGTACGTCACTGCACCGACGTATAGGGAGAGCGGTTCCCCAAGAAGGCGACTCGTATGAATGAGAATTGGGATTATAGGTTCGTGTGGTGTGCGGTTAAGGAGTGAAATCCAACATTAATGTATCAAACTAAAAATTATCTTTTATTTAAGTAAGTAAATTAACTATAATTGCTCTAAGTAAGTATAATATTAAGTATAACAATAGGTACGGCTATAATATGAAATACAATAAGAAATTATAATAGGTACACCCTAGATAATGAAATACAATAAGAAATTATAATAGGTACGCCCTAGATACAGTGCAAAATATATGATTAGTGGTTAGTAAGTATTAACGCGACTTGATCTTCGAATACAGCCAATACTCTGTACAATTTGCCAAGTTACACTAAGTACTGGAAAACTATATTCTAGTAGCTTGTACGATACCTTTGGACACGAGCGGACTATACCTACAGGTCGCAATCGGTTTCTGGTCTAGCCAGAGCTATGTTAATACAGGCCTGCTCAAGGAGCTCCGCTCCTCGCTAGCTCTTTACACTTGAACGTGTGGCTTAGTATTAGCACGTGTTCAACACGTTGCGTACCATGAGTAGGGTGTCCACAGATCCGAACTCTCGTACGTCGCTACTGAAAGAGAAGGATAGAGCTAATCTCGCGCTCTATAGTTGCCTAGGCAATTCAGCGCAAGCTTTTCCTCTACTTCCAGAGTATTGTCTGCATCTGACCGAAGCCAGGGAAGATCTGATCTGACTCTGCGTGAAACGCCTCTATTTATAGTCAGATTCTGCTGACTTAGCGTTTTTTTTTATTATAGGGTTCCTTTGAATTTCTGGAATTCCCCATCACGTGACGGCCGAGCACCCCTGCTCCTTAGTCTACGCGGTCACCCTACTCTAGAATTTCACCCCACCGCGAGATCATCGGGGTTGCGCTGGCGCGTATGCATTCGTTTGTCGATCATTTATCGATAATCTATTTACCGACCGACTTACCGACTAATTGCTTATCGACTTATCGCTTATCGACTTATTCAATCAGACTATATTATCGATTAAATGAAATTTATTTATTATAAGAAGTATAATACAAATCAAACTAATTACTTTTTTATAAATTCAATTAAACGTAAAAATTAACTTAACTATTTTGTACAATATTTAAACCAAAAATAAATCATAACAACAACAACGAAATGAAAAAGGTGCTGGGTCTTCTTAACGGGTCTTTACAGCTTCCCCCGTGCGTTTGTCTCTTGTCCTCAAGAGACTGTGGTTGCGTCTTCTGAGGTGGCAAAGGGCGCAGCGGCATTTCTCTTCGCTGTTCCTTGGGGATGCTGATAGGACTCCAAAATATTTAATTATTTTTCCTTGATTTCTTCTCGGGTCACCTTTTTCCGACTTTCTATAGGTTTTCCAGTCGAATTCTGGAATGTCGATTGTAATTAACCTCCATCGTGGTAGTGGTGCTTTTTCTTCTACTATTATCATTTCTTTTTGCTCTGGCATCTTTGAAAATTTTGTAGAAAACAAATAATTAATAAATGAAATAAATTATTAAAAGTATAATTTTACCTCTCTGAACTGTTTTAATGCTCTTCTTAATCTTTTTAAACGTTCGCGTCGTCCTGCGCGTCGCACCATTTTCGTTCTTTATAAATTGAATGTAGCGGTGCGTGCGTAGCGTTGCTTTGTATAGCTTTCTTTGTCGCTCTTTGTTTCTATCTCTTTCTATGCTAATATGGCGGACTTGCGATTCTGCGCATTAATAAATCGAACGAAATAAATATGGTTCGTGAGTTTTGAAATAAATAAATTCACTCGTTTATAGAAGAAAAATAATTATATATATATTTAAATGAATAAAGTATTTTATAAATTAGAAAACATGGATTAATATTAATTATGAGTAATAACTCTGTACTCTTCATTTTGCACAACAACATCCTTTAATGGAAAAATGTTAGGGTCTAGAGTCGGCAAAATAAATCCTTCACGAAAGGTTTCCTTATGTTCATTGTCGGCTGCGAATAGTCTACTTCTGCAGCTAGTGCAGGAGGCTGCTGGTCTCATCCTGCATAGCACTTTTCTGCATATTATGCAGTGGATATAGTTGATATCTGTATTTTTGGATACATGGTTGTGCCATCCCATAAAGAACCACATCTCCTTCGCTTCCGGGACCATTTTAAATGCACAGTCGATACATGTTCGGCCAATTCTGTGCGCCAAATTGTTATTGAAAACTGGGCCGATGTCGCGGATACAGACAGCGTCCAAGATATATTGCCCAATTTCTTCAAACTACAATAAAAAGAAAAAAGTTTTACTTTCTTGTATAAGTTTATATTTAAAATATGTTCTACCTCGTTCAGATCCATCTTTTTCTAACTTTTTCCCTTTTTTTTTTTATATTATAGTAATAAAAATTTCAGTAGCGTCTCTTTTCGTGTGCCTTGCTTTTTTTTTTTTGCGTTCTATGCGCAATATGGCGGTAGGTTTAAAATTCTGTATCTGCGCATGTGTGTGTTCCGAAAATTATATAGATTGTCGTATCGACTTTTATTTTTGATCCGCGCTGTAGATTGGTCGATAGGCCCTCTTTAGTCGATCTTTGTGTACTATCCTAGTCTTTTTGGGACCTATCTGCAATTCTATGTTATTTTTTTCTATGTTTCTTAAAACAGTGTATGGCCCAGTGTATTCTTTTTGTAATTTACTTCTTCTTGGTGGATTTAAGAGCATTACTTCTTCTCCTGTTTCATAATTAATTGGACGTATTTTTCTATCGTAATAGTATTTTTGTCTATATTTTGATTGTTCTAGATTTATTTTTGCGGTTTGTCTAATTTCATGTAAGTTTTGTAATAGTTTATCTACGTAGTCAGGGTATGTATCTAATCTGTCAGATGGTATAAATTTTGATGGCAATCTTGCCTTTTTTCCATAAACCAGTTCATGAGGTGTGAATTTTGTTCCCTCGTGAACACTTGTGTTGTATGAGAACATTGCTTGCTGTAGCCATTCGTCCCAATGTTCTTGTTTAGATATGTAGTGTTTTAAATATTCAACCAGAACGTGATGGCTTCTTTCCAGGGACCCGTTTGACTGAGGATGGAAGGATGATGTACGGTACGTCTTGATATGGAAGATTTTGGCTAGCTTTTTGATTAGCGAGGATGTGAAGCATGTTCCTTGATCAGTGAGGATAGCTTTAGGACTACCGAACTGGCATATGAATGAATTAGTGAATGCTCTTGCGACGTCCTCGGATGTGGCTGATACAAGTGGAACTGCGACGGAGTATTTGGTTAAATTATCCTGTATAGTGAGGATGTAACTGTATCCTTTATGTGTCATTGGCAAGGGTCCAAGAATGTCTAGGGACACCTTATCGAATGCGTCTGAAGGAGTGTCTGTGATAACCATTGGCTCCTTATTCTTCATCCTTACTAGCTTGGTTCGCTGGCAGCTTATACAGGATCTAACGTAATCGGTAATTTCTTTTTTCATGTTTTTCCAATAATACTTGTTCCTGATTCTAAGGTAAGTTTTCCTGATACCTTTATGTCCTGCGACTGGGCTTTCATGATTTTCCCTAATTATATTTTTCCTTTCCTCTTTAGGTGGAATTTGGACCGTTCCTTTGCAGATAGTGATGTTGATATTAGAGTCTGCAAAGACTATCTGGAGAATTGCTTTTAAACCCTGTCTATTTGGCATGCTGCACTCCTGGATTCCTTTTTGGAGTAATATTTGATGAAGAATTTTAATTTTCTGTGGTAATGTTTCTCTAGATTCTACTATTATTCCAAAAATTAATCTATTTTTGATTTTATATTGCATGATGTTACTTTGTGGTTTAGAAATTTTAATCTTTTCATTTTCCATAAATTGTCTTGATTGTATATCTTCTGGTTGTCCTTCTTTGTTAAGAAATATTATTGCTGTGCCTTTTTTTCATCCATAGATGGTCTTCGGTTTCTTCTATTTTTAATATAATTGGTTTATTGCTGATTATTTTGGGTTTTATTTGTTTAATTTTTGGTGGTTGATTTTTTTCTTTTTTAATTTTGATGGGTGTAATCGGAGCTGATAGAGTATCGCTTGAAGTCTCTTTATCTATTTTTCTTTTTAGTACTGGAGATCTTCCTCTTGTGCTTGAAGAAGAATCGATTTTAGGTGGTTCTCTGAAAATGTGTTTCGGTATAATTGTTTCTTCGTTGTATTCTTCTATTTCATCTCCAATTATTACTGGTTCCCTATTTATAGGTCTTTTCTGTGGAATGATATATTTTCGATCCTGTGGTGGTTGATGTACTTCTACAATGACTTGCTGTTCATTAGGTCTTCTTTTCTTTTTGATCTCTTCAGAGGAATATATTTTTGGATTTAAATTTGTTCTTTTTCTTGGTTTTGGTGGCTCTTCAGATACATCTGTTTCATAATATTGAGATTCATCTGAGCTTGTATAATCCTCTTTTACTCTTTTCTTTGTTGCGTTGTCCTCTTGAGAAAAACTTCTTTCTCGTATCCTGTCTTTCCGATATTTTTTTCTTGTTTCGAATTCTGAGGAATCGTCTCGTGGTCGTGTTAAATGTTTATGGCTTATTTTCCTTTTCTTAATATCCCGTGAACTAGATGAAGTTGTTGGCCTTGGTCTTCTAGGATATTGATGCCATTCTTTTTTCTTTTTGTGTTCTTCAGACTCAGTCGTAGTTGTTGGTCTGAGTCTGGTAGGATACTGGTGTGATTCCTTTTTCTTTTTGAATTCTCTTGATTCTGACGTGGTTGTTGTTTGTCTTGGGCGAGTGGAATATTGGTGCCACTCTTTCCTTTTCTTGTGTTTGCCCGATTCTGAAGTGGTCGTCGTTTGTCTGGGGCGAGTGGGATATTGGTGCCACTCTTTCTTCTTCTTACGCTTCTTTTTTGACCCAGACGTAGACGAATGCAGCCTCTTAGCATGTATTTGCAGGGCGTTTATATCTTCGATTGGATTTCTCGAAAGAGCGTCAGCGTTTATATTTTGTTTGCCTGGTTTGTACTTTATTTCATAATCGTACTCGCTCAATCTCAATTTCCATCGCATGAGTCTCGATGTAGGATCTGTGAGACTATTTAGCCAGATCAATGGTTTGTGATCTGTAATTAAATAAAACTTCCTGCCAAATATATATGGTCTGAAGTGATTTACTGCAAATATTACAGCAAGTAATTCTCTCTCTGTTGCGGAATATTGCGTTTCCGGCTTATTCATTACTCTTGAGGCGTAAGCTACTGGCTGATCCTTTCCTATCTCTCCTTGACTTAGGACTGCTCCTACCGCTGTTCCGGATGCATCAGTGGTTATATTAAATGGTCTCTTAAAGTCTGGATATTGCAGGATCGGTTCTTCGCATAGTACGTTTCTCAAGAATTCGAAGGCTTGCTGCTGTTGGCTGGACCACTCGAATTTTTGTTCTTTCTTCGTCAGGTCGGATAATGGCTTGGCTATCTTAGAGAAGTCTTTAATAAAACGTCTGTAGTATCCGCACAATCCCAGAAATTGTCTAATGTTTTTGACAGTCTTAGGAATGGGGAACCTCTGGACCGCTTCAACCTTTGCTGGGTCAGGTCTTACACCGTCTTCTGTAATTATGTGACCCAGGTACGCTACTTCTTTCTTCAGAAATTGGCATTTGTCAGGTTGCAAGCATAAGTTTGCTTCTCTGAGCTTTGCCATCATCCTATTGACTTTGGTTTCGTGTTCTTGTAACGAACTTGCATAAATTACAATGTCATCGATGAACACGAATAGTTCCAGTCCTTGCAGTCCGTCTAGGACGTTGTTCATCAGACGTTGGAACGTAGCTGCAGCATTTTTCAACCCAAAAGGCATTCTGTTGAATTCAAAGTGCCCAAATGGTGTCGAAAATGCCGTCTTATGCTTGTCTTCTGGATGCATTGGTGTTTGATGAAAACTGGACTTCAAATCAAACACGGAGAAGTATTTTGCGCTTCCCACTTGATCCAGGATGTCTGTAATATTGGGTAGTGGATAGGCATCGCTGATTGTTTTTTCGTTTAGCTTTCGGAAATCAATCACCAATCTCCACAATTTGTTTCCCTGTGAATCCTGTTTCTTAGGTACTATCCACAAGGGGGAGTTAAATGGTGACGATGAATGTTTGATTATTCCTTTCTCAAGGAGATCATTTACTTGATGATTGATTTCATCTTTTAACGCATGAGGATACCTGTATTGCTTAACGTTTACAGGCATCTCATCCGTTGTGATGATTCTATGGTAGATTTTATTTGTTGCTGGGAGTTTATCTCCATCTATATAAAATCTGTCAGCGTGCTCTTTTACTATATCCTCTACATTGGCAAATTCTTCTTGATTTAGATGGTCTGTCTGTAGTATCTTTAGAATCTTTTGGGCTCGCTCAGGTTCTTGGTGGACTGCATCTTCGTCTTGCGGTGCTTCTTCATATTGTTGCAGTTCAACAGCTGGCATTTCAATTTCTATATCTTCTGCTCCAACGTTGATTGCGTATAGAAATGCTATGCCATCCCGGTTCGTGACTACAGCATTCCCCATATATAGTTGTGGGTGAAGCTGCAGTTTTGGGACAAAACCGGTTTTTATTTCTGTGTTTGACACCTTTATGGGTATCATGGTTTTTGTCCTGGATGGTATTACTACTGCTGGTTGTTTGAACGGTATTATATTGTTGTTTACGATCAATATAGATTTAGCGTAATTGATGCTAGCTCCACTGCTTTTAAAGTATTCCGTGCCCAAAATTCCGTCTTGTTCAATTGGTAATTCTTCAATAATGTGGAAGATGGATTCTGTCTCCAGTATTTTTACTTTGATGTATCCTGTAGTGTAAATGGAGCTTTTAGTTATCCCGTTTAATTGAAAAATTATATCTGTATTTATAGCTATTTTATTTGAGATTGCTTGTTTCTTAATTATATTAATGTCTGACCCTGTGTCGACCATGAATAATGCCTTTTGATTTTTGAAATTTTCGCTTAATAGTTCGACACTGGGAGACTTATTTATCTCTTCTAAGTTCAGGTATAAGTTCGCTTTCTTACGTACCTGTTGTACTTGTGGAGTTTGCTGGAGTCTGGCTTTTGACACGCTCCTGATATGCTTTCTTTCGGCACTCTTGAATCGTATGGCCGATGTTTTGGCAAAATTCGCAAATTGGCGCTCTATTTTGTGTCCAATTTCGATTCTGCCTTGGCATAGGTTGATTCTTGTGGGCTTGATTTGGCTGCGCAAAATCCTGAGGGACCCCTGGTCTTCCTTGCTGGTCTTTAAACCAGCAGGTTTCCAAGGTGTGCCCGGACCTTTGGCAGTGCTGACAGTATTTTGCTGGCCAGTGGGCCCTCGACGTGGATTGTCTTTGGAACCTCTGACTGCAGCATACACTGGTATTGTGCCCATATCCGTAACAATTGTTGCATTGTTCGGCTGTAATGAATCCTTGCGATAATTTAACCTTCGTTAGGTTCTCTATGCTCTCAGCTTCTGCTAGGATTGCTGCGCTTATTGCATCTTCAAGACTGTCAAAATTTTGATTTCTCATCCGACTATATACCTCTTGTTTTAAACCTGTCAGGAATGCTCTGACGGTATTTGTTTCCGAGGATTGGTTGTATCTTTCAACCTGATCTGGGAACTCCATCTCGTTGCAACTCTTGATCTGTATCAAGAGTCCCGAAACGCGGCTGCCGTAGTCTACGACTGCCTCGGTCGGCGCTTGTACCATCCTTGCCATATCGCCACATAGCTGCATTGAAGTGAACAGCGGGGCGAAACGAGACTTTATTACGGCAATTAATTCTTTAATAGTGTCGTAGTCTCCGTTTTGTACCACTCTTGAAGCTTGCCCGTAAAATTTGTTCTTAATCAGCTGCACCAATCCGTACTCAGCATTTGGGGAGATTATATTCTTCGCCTTAAAACAGCTCTTTGCAAATTGATAAACAGGTATATTGCGGCCGTTGAATGCTGGTACGATGTCCGCTGCATCACGAATGCTGATCGGTCGGCTTCCTTCGGTTGATCCGCTGGCTGATGTGCCGGCTGGTATATCGGCTGTTCCGTTGGGCATCTTGATGTTTGCTTATTAATGTAATATATGTATATATGTACAACTCTCTATATCTACCCTGCTATATTTTTTTTTTTTTTTTTTTTTTTTATTTATCTGTCTTTATTTTATTCTAGGCTTGACCATTAATGTCCGCAGAGATACGATTTTCTCATTACCACTCGAACAATCCCACCGCTGTCACCAAAATTTTTCTTAACTATTTACGTGTAACGACCCAGTGATAGGTACGTCACTGCACCGACGTATAGGGAGAGCGGTTCCCCAAGAAGGCGACTCGTATGAATGAGAATTGGGATTATAGGTTCGTGTGGTGTGCGGTTAAGGAGTGAAATCCAACATTAATGTATCAAACTAAAAATTATCTTTTATTTAAGTAAGTAAATTAACTATAATTGCTCTAAGTAAGTATAATATTAAGTATAACAATAGGTACGGCTATAATATGAAATACAATAAGAAATTATAATAGGTACACCCTAGATAATGAAATACAATAAGAAATTATAATAGGTACGCCCTAGATACAGTGCAAAATATATGATTAGTGGTTAGTAAGTATTAACGCGACTTGATCTTCGAATACAGCCAATACTCTGTACAATTTGCCAAGTTACACTAAGTACTGGAAAACTATATTCTAGTAGCTTGTACGATACCTTTGGACACGAGCGGACTATACCTACAGGTCGCAATCGGTTTCTGGTCTAGCCAGAGCTATGCTAATACAGGCCTGCTCAAGGAGCTCCGCTCCTCGCTAGCTCTTTACACTTGAACGTGTGGCTTAGTATTAGCACGTGTTCAACACGTTGCGTACCATGAGTAGGGTGTCCACAGATCCGAACTCTCGTACGTCGCTACTGAAAGAGAAGGATAGAGCTAATCTCGCGCTCTATAGTTGCCTAGGCAATTCAGCGCAAGCTTTTCCTCTACTTCCAGAGTATTGTCTGCATCTGACCGAAGCCAGGGAAGATCTGATCTGACTCTGCGTGAAACGCCTCTATTTATAGTCAGATTCTGCTGACTTAGCGTTTTTTTTTATTATAGGGTTCCTTTGAATTTCTGGAATTCCCCATCACGTGACGGCCGAGCACCCCTGCTCCTTAGTCTACGCGGTCACCCTACTCTAGAATTTCACCCCACCGCGAGATCATCGGGGTTGCGCTGGCGCGTATGCATTCGTTTGTCGATCATTTATCGATAATCTATTTACCGACCGACTTACCGACTAATTGCTTATCGACTTATCGCTTATCGACTTATTCAATCAGACTATATTATCGATTAAATGAAATTTATTTATTATAAGAAGTATAATACAAATCAAACTAATTACTTTTTTATAAATTCAATTAAACGTAAAAATTAACTTAACTATTTTGTACAATATTTAAACCAAAAATAAATCATAACAACAACAACGAAATGAAAAAGGTGCTGGGTCTTCTTAACGGGTCGTTACACAAGTTAAAATACCCTCCAGAATCCTACACGTGAGCAAATTAATTGGCCGTAGGAAAATAACGGAATCCGCATGCACTCTGATACAATACAAGGGCTAATGAACTAAATTTAAATGAAGATGCAATTATGTAAACCAATTACGAGTTTTAAGAATACTATAAAATAATGTACCGTCCTAACAGCATGATCAATGCATTAAGTGAGCGAGGGTATAACACTGTACCACACTCGTCATCACCTGTAGGTAACAACATGAGATATCATTGCCATAAGCACTCACCGTATCCTACAACAGTCAATCACTCGTTCCGCCAAACCGTGAACCGTCCAGATTCGAATTTGAAGCAACAGTAATTGAAAGGACAATATCGTTGACACAGCACAAGGAGCAGCTTGAAACAATAAAAGCAAAGTATATCTTGCTTAAGCGGCATTATAATATTCAAAGTTACCGTTTTACTATAATATTATGCTTAATGCATTAAATCAAATAGACACTACAACTCAAAGTGTAACATTCCCGAATCCACCGCATCCCGAACCTGTAAGCCTTCTTCGTGTTCTTGAAAGAAAGGAAGAAATAAAAGAAATAAATGTAAACCAATATTACGCGAATAATGAATAGAATATCATTATGAGGACGTCCAATCATATAAGTTTAGTGGTAAGCATGGATCTATTGAAATAGAGTTGAATTATAGTAGAGATTGGAGGAAGCTTTCATGCTCAATTAAAGAAAACTGTACTCAACTCCGTTGCATTGACAATTAAGAATAATAAAGTCAACCAATCATTGTCAGAAAGGTTGACCAGAAGAAATTGAAATAACCACTCTAATACATCGAAGCAATAGACAATACTTATTGGAATATAAACGCAATCATATATGTGGTAGTTGTTGATATGTCCAATAGAAATGATCTCGTACTAGCAGAGTTGTTAAAATCAAAGTATATTACTACATTATGTAGGTACCAATCCCATTAGTCGGAAGTAAAGTATAATATAACTAAGTGTGGTTCAGTATGATATAACAAGACAAGGACCGACCGCCATGCTTAGCAGTGACCTATATGTGTCAATATGTAACAAAGATTGCAACAATCTACGACAATCCACAGTTCAACACCCAGCGACATTGGTTCAATCACGCATCAATCAATCAATCAATTCGACACTTCATTAGTTTCAAATTGGATAGCCCAATAATATTACAATCCACGCCAATTCCCTCATATTACGGTCGGCTTCAGTCGACTTCACCCTTACCCTTAAGCATTTAATGTGTGCTTAACATATCATAGAACGTTCAGCTATGACAGTCAATAATTAATAATCAAAATTCACAAACAATAATTCAGCAACTTCGTGCAATACTCCTCCACGCCTCAGCCAAATACCAGTGCCTCCCTCCCATCCGTACGCGTTTCTGAACAATTGCTTATAAACCATCCAAATCAAAGCATCCTAGCACCATTACATGTAACACCGTCAGTATTATACCTTGTCAGGCCATGCCCAGAGCCCACCCACAGGCACCCGATGTTGCCTGCAAGCATCGAAATCTTGCCGCGCACCCAAGCCTGACAATGGTAAACACATGTGCATGCACTCTCAGGTCTCTCCGGCCGCCAGCCAGCAGGGTACCGCGCTGTAATTCAGAAAGGGATATAGACCCGTGCTCAAGGCCCCGTAATAAACCCGGTCAACCAACGTCGCCATTCCAAACGATAATAAACAAACACTTAGACCAGCGCCTTTCCGATGAGGATTGAATGAAATATGACCCCTACTACACAGTCAACGATCTCCGCAGGCCCAAGGTCATTAAGTCAAGTACTCGGGCAATTGTATCCCAAAAAACTAGCACATCAAGGCAGCGTGTTCGTTTGATTGTAAACCCATGAGCAGATGGACCGGCTTAAAGCAATAACCGAAAAATCCCAAACAAAGGACCATATCCGACAGACCGTGACAAGAAAATAACAGCCACGCAGTATACATAAATGGGCAGTAAGGTAATGAAAGTACCATCACAACTAGGAAAAAATACAACTCGTCGTACCTTGAAATTATGCATAGTATTTAATAAGAAACTGAACACTACCAATACTACTAACATGCACGACAGGGATACTTAAACGACCCTCCAGGGTTACACATAATTCAATGGAACAATACAAAATAAGATAAGATAATATATTCCGGTATCATAGTGGGGCAATAGATTGGAAATATGACCTTATGTAAATTAATCGTTTATAATGGCACTTAAATCAAAGCCCTCACGTTAACCAAATCATCGTAATCAATTCCGAAATTGAGGCAAATAAGAGTTCTAAAGGGATGAAATAGATATGGATATGAGATATCATATGCTTGTTAATTAATTAGTGAGAGCATGTGAATAAATGCAGAGATAAAGTACAAGTAGTGTAAATATGAGACAACATGAACCTAAGACTTCGCATTACGATGAACACGAGCCGCACAACGAAAATAATAAAATCTTATCAAATACGCAATTGATTAAAACAACAAAAGACGTTGATGTTGAAGAGAGAAGAAAGAAAAGGGAGAATATGAAGCAGATATGAAGAAGCGCCACATTCAAATGTGCATAATATCAACCCCGATCCCACTGATATAAACGCGTATGAATGTCAGATCAACCCTGTATTCTATGAGCTGCACCGCCTATCCTAATACAGGATCACCATTACATCAAAACCGTCCCAGAATCATAATCAAATCACAATGCAATAGGCTCGCTCAGATCGAGATGAAAGTCGCAATCCCATGAAGATGATCAAATTAAATTAATTAGCATACCGGACTTAAATCAAAATTAAACCATCCCGGAATCATGATCAAAATCGATTATTCAAGTTGAATTAATCACGTCAAAATCAGAATCAATGAGCCGATGAACCCACCTGTCGATAGGTGAACAAACAACCCCTGGTAGAAGTCCTCCTCCTCCCCCTCGCGTACCTTAGCTGTGCACCAAGACTTCGGGCGATAGTCAAATCGATGAAAAGAGCAACCAAATAATTTGGGATAACAATAATAATGAATTATTAACTAATCAAAGTAATAATAAAAGAGATAGATCAAACTTAGCACCACCTTGTCACAAACATATGATCTCAGCGCGCCCCTGATCTACAAACTAGCAGCATCCGCCATTCCAAATTGTCGAATTAGAAAAGATAGGGATGAAAGAATAGAGAGTGATGAGCATAAGCATAACTGCTGTCATTTCCCCACTATAGGCGCAGTAATTATCTGAGTTAAAAACTGCACCACATCGCATTCCCATTGAGTTAATATCAAGACCCCTGTCCGTTTCTCCTCGTCCCCTGAATACGTCCTGAACCTGCCTAGGATACCGCCATCCCAGGTGACAACACAGGTGGAAAGAAGCGTGCCCCTCTCCATCCAGTTCCCACTCCATAATCCCAGCCCAGCGCGTAAGCCTGCACCGATCGCGCAGGAATACGCCCATCCCAGGCCAATGAACGCATCGCTTTGCT